CACATCTGTCAGTATACATCAAGAATTCAGTGATAACTCTCATCATTTATACCAGCCTCTGTGCGGAGTCCAATTCACCAGTTGTTCCCTACTGCCGAAGGAGAAAACTGGGTTCACATAACTGTTGAAGTTTTCTCCTTTGAGGTTGTAGAGCCATAGCCTCAACTGGTGTGTATTGTTGTAATGCCCTGACTTTAATTTAAACCTGCTGATGAGCCACTTTCCCTTTCCCCACACTCCTCACACACTTCTCAACTTTCTAAAGCGTGGTCATGTACAGATGAGATCTTATGTGCAGTGAAATCTTCACCATTAAAATCAAACAGGCAAATTACAGAAAATTTAACAAGTCCCATTTTTTATTGAATTGATAACAGTAAACTATGATGCATACTTAGGAATGAGAACATCTTCAGTAAATTGCCTCTGTCTGGAGGCATGGAGAGAGTCCCTTATCTAGAGCACTGAAAAGAAATTCTGCTATTTATGAAAATTTGCATCTTGCTACCTAAAGCAAGGGCATATCTGGGTTTTGATGGGTGCCATGGCAACTATGTTACTAGAGAATAGCATAGGAGCATTTTGAGGGAGAGGGAACAGGATGAAACAAAAAGCTCACTGGTTATCTGTGGACACAAGGACTTTTGCTGCACATCCAGAGACAGATTATTTTTCTTCTTGTTCCTGGCTGGCTGTTTACGGCTGCCACCATGTTCATACTTTTGCCTTATAATGTGGTTTTCCAGAAATAATGAAAGAAGGGGAAAACCTGCTAAACAACTAGGACAGATCTTAAACATAGTTCAAAGATCCATTGTATTTGTACCACTTAGAAAAGCAACGCAAAACTACTAAACCCACCTTTTTTGAGATCTACAAAACATTTGACATTCTTCTTTAATTCAGATCTTCTAATGTCAGATGTTGAGGTATTGAAACAAGAGCCTCATTCATGCAGGCTTATGTGCTTTAAAATTTGTATGCAAAGAGAATAGCTTAACATTAACAAATGGCAATATAAAATAATCCCTAGTGCAATGGCCATGAGGTGAAAAAAAGAAAAGTAATTAAAGGAAAATCTTAGTATTTTCTTCACTTTAGCAATTGCGCAGTCACATCTTTAGATCTCTGCATACAAAGCATTAGTCGGCCCCTTGCCTGTGCAGAAATAGTTGCAATACCTGAGGAACAGACTTGCATTGTCCAGTTTGTTTAGATGCTGATTTTCTAACAAAAATCAAATTCTTGCAATATACTTTTAGTCCCTCTTTCCCAGTAACTTTTTTGTATCTTGACAAATTTGAGAGCAAGGTGAAAGTTTTAAAGACAGTTCCTGGATGTTTCTTATGAGTGTGTGGCTGGGGTATTTCATACACTGAGAAAGCTCGAGGTAGGGCTCAAAAGTGTTTTTAGACATAAGCAAATCCAAGCAGAAGAAAATTACAGGTCATCAGGGTCTGCAAATCCAGCTGCTTCTGGAAACAGGTTGTTTTTCTGAACCATTGCTGTTCTCATTCTGCATTACTTCACAAACTTTGTTTACTTTTTGCTCAGATGTTAGCAGTTTATTTTCTGTTCACACAAGACCCTTGTTGACCCTTGCAGCCCACATCTTCTGCTTTCCTGTTTCTTGCTCTCATTTTAAATCTATTCACGCATCCTGCAATGCTTAGCATCATCCTTGGAGCAGTGAAGTTAGCTATGTAACTTAACACTTGTAAATCCATCTCGCAATGTTTTCTGATTGATTGCATGATACATGAAAATTATTGGAACTTGCCACTCTTTGTATTTGGATATCCTTCACATGACCTGGATAATTAAACGGATGAACAGTATATGCATTATTCTCAAGCAAAATTTTACCATCTAAAGCACATTTATCATAGCATTTTACTCTTTTGTAATAAGATTTGTGCATCAACTAATGTCTAACAGCAAGAAGCATGTAAAAAACAGGAATCATAAGAGGCAGTATCTGTTTCTTTGAGATTAGCAGGACAAATCTTTAACTCCAGTATTTCATAGCTCAGGATGAAGGAAAGATTTGCATGGATCTGCTTTTCAGACTTCTTTGTGGCCCAGGAGTAAAATACTCTGCCTTCCTACAAGTCAAATAGATGGTCAAATACGTGTTTGCTCTGTGCAGCTGAGCTCACTGTCCTTAAGTCATAGCTGCATAATTACTCCAAGCCCAATACTTGCTTTATCTTCTTTGACAAGCCTGCAATTAACTGAAGATCCTCTTCTCTCTAAGCAATTAGGTTTATTTAATAAATTACCTATTTTTACTTTATACAGGGTTGAGAACCTTAGCCTTGAAATACCTTTAGTGAGTCAAACACCACAACAAATATCTGGCTTCCATCCATGAATAAGATACACTCATGGGCTGCATAAAATTAAGCCATACGCAGCTTTCAGATTCCTCACTCCTTGTTCAGAAAACATTTTCAGCTACTGCACTTAGAAAGAGTTCCAAGTGTGAATAAAGGTTAGAAACGCATGTTCCTGAATAGGCAGGCAGACTGAAAATGATAAAGCTGCAGCTTGCATCTTGTTAGTCTCACTGGCAGGTCAGCTAGTAACATCAGTTTAGTATCTGTTTCACTTAAAAAGGAGGTTTTGCACCTTTCATACTGAGCAACCCGTGCAGTGACAAAACCCACAATTACAGTTGCAAAAAAATTACTGTTGATTTCATTGTGAGTCTCTTAGTAATTTTAATAAGCATAATTTAGGAGAGGGGGGTGAGTGGTATTCTAAATAGGGATTGTAATGCACACAACAGAGAATTAGATCTCTGTTACTACACAAATCGGACATCTGAGAAACCTGGGTTTATTTCAGACATTGAAGCAGAGTAGCTTCTTAGCAGATGTAAAGATTCAAGAAACTCACAGTGCTGAAGTCTCTCTGGCAGCAGCTGCATACTGCTTGGAAGTATGAATCGGCGTAGGCAACACAGTAATGACTTAAATAATTGAGGTAACATGTATCAGGACATTTTAATATACAAGGTGATCATTATGGCAGACTACTATACTTCCATACTGCTTGTGTAAGTTTCCACCTACTTGAAAGGTGTTGTAAAAAGATGGTGATTAGCTAATTTAATGTAATGTACTATGCCGTTTTGTCCCCATTGGTGGCTAATTCTGTCCAGGCTGCTGGCACCCAAGAGGACAAGTATACTTTTCTGCCTCATATTTTGTCCCTGAAGAGATGGGAGCTACATACCTGCTACTGAGGACCTGACTGAAAATCTCGAAGCAGAGGAAGCAGTTCCCCAGCCCAGGCAAGAGCCACGGCTGACACTGCATTAGCTTGGTTTGGCAGGGCATCAGGTTTGAACAGCACCCAATGCTTTCTCACAGTCCTGAGCAGCACCCGGCCCTGCAGCAAGGAGTATTTCAGACCTCCTCCAGTGCAGGCTGCAACTGTGAGTCAGCCAGCCACCTCAGGACATCAGAATGGTTCTGACCAGTCTTCACAGCTGAATTTGTACAGACTCTTTCTTAAACTAGCAGATCCAAAAAGGGGGTGCAACAAACTTCTCATCAAGTCAAGCAGATGAACTCTGCTCTGACTGTTAAGTTTAACAATTTCATCCAATCTGCTTTTCTGCACGTGCTGCATTTCAGAGACTGAAATGCTGAACATCTCTTTCTGCTTTTTATGCCAGGTTGCTGTGACAATGCTGCTTTGGTTGCACAGCTTCTTTCATAAATGTGTACCATATTCTATCTACATGTTCTGCAAGAAGTTGGGCATTGAATTTTTTAAAAGCACACTATTTCTTTTCACCTTATTGCTGTAATACCTTTTAAATCTCATCATTGTAATACCTTAACCATGTGTCCTCACCACTTCAGAAAGACAAAGAACATAGTTCTTGTAGCTTATCAAGTGAAGCAAGGGCACCACCGTTAGGTAGCACACAGTCACTGTGTAAGTATTGCTGTTTC